ATCAGAACTCTAAGCACATGAGAGAGAGTGGGAACTTCCCAGAACATTGTATTGTGCCACGCCCAACAGAAATAACCCAGGTGGGCGACTTTAAAATCAGGATCTCCTCCGTAGCTAATAGCAATTCCCACCTTAGAGTTTACAAAGACTTATGGGTAGAAAAGCCACACTAAGTAATTTACTACACCGCAGGAACCCATTTTTTCCCAATCAATACCCTTACTTTAACTTCAGACAACATTCTGGGTTGATAATTCAATTGGTGTTATAATTCAGCCACCCTTACAATAAGACTCTGGGTTTGTGTTTTGGCAATATCAGCTCTGTTACTAGAAGAAATAAGATTTTCTTTCAGGGTGCAAATGGAAACATTTAGGTCTTTTATGTGGCACTTGAGCTGTGACTCAGCAGCCCTGAAGAACTCATTTCCTTCTTTCATTACTTTGTCTAGCATAAATATGACCAACTAACATACTCTTCATGCTTACAACATTGCAGAAAAGTATCAAACATGTGATCACCAATGCTTGGTCTATTGGTGGTGCTGTTTTGCATATTAATGTTGCCACCTCATGTGGATTAGCAGGGCCCTCTTTACTAACGGAGGCAGAGTCACCAGTGCCTTTATGATTAATCAAATTGGAGAACTAAAACAGAATTGGTGAGACCAATTTAGAAAACCCATCCTTATAATTTTGTCTTTCTAGAATCACTCCAGAGGAGTCAGCCACAGGGACTCAGGTGAGGAGAGGGAACCCAGGCCATGTCTTACAAGCAGCAAGGCGGGAAGGCAGGGAGAGGACAGAAAAGGCAAAGGGGATAGGAACAGATCGAAAAGTCAGTGGCAGGGACTCAAGTGAGGAAGGAAACCCAGACCACCCACCACAAGCAGCGAAGTGGGAAGCAGGGAGAGGACAGAAAAGGCAAGGGGGACAGGAGCAGATCGAGGAATTAGCCACAGGGATCTAGTAAGGGTGGTTGGAGGGGTTTCCAACAGCTAAGGGAGACAAATTTGTCTGTCGGTTTGTCCTACTGTGGTGACGTGTTGCTGTGAGTCTTGAGGCTGTGCCACTGGTGTTTCAAACTCAATGGAGTATACCTGGTGCACAGGTATCAGCCAGGCTTTCAGACTGAGACAGACTAGGAAGAAGGAGGAGGCCATCCACTTTTAAAAAAATTAGCCAGGGAAAACCTTATGAATAGCAGAGAAACACTGTCTGATACATTACTGTGCAACATAATGAATAGTTCAGAAACATTGTCCAATACAGAGGAGGAAGATGAGTCACTTAGCTTAGAAAGCTCTCAAAGTAGGACTGGGAAAGAGCTGCATTATCAGAGTAAAATCAGCCTTACTCATATGGATAAAATAAAGCTTTTAAGACCTTCATTTGATGACATGGCACCACTCAAATTGCGGAGAAACAATGGCAAACATCCATTAATAATCAGAACATGGAATGTACAAAGTATGAATCTAGGAAAATTGGAAGTTGTCAAAAATGAAATGGAATGCATAAAGATTGAT